GAAGAAGATACGCTACCAAAGGACAACAGGGCGCTCGGGCGTTACAGTTTCATCCCGACATGTATCTGAATTAGAATTAGTCACACATCCGTTTTTATTAATAATATAAATCAAGCTTTGTAATTTTAACGGACCTGTTTTTTCTTGTGTTGGCTGTTTTATCTACTCCGAACCAAATTGCGTATTTTAATGATTATGATCATATTAAATTTCGAATTTTAATTCAATTAAAGTGACCCGGAAGGCGCCTGATTTTGATGATTCAGATACTTGGAGGTGCTAGCAACGCTGCTTTAAGGAATTCATTTAAGTGTAGACTTTAAGGCCTTCATTAGCAATGTGGAGACTATAGTCTCCACATTGCTATAGTCTCAATTGAAATCTTCACATTCTGTTTTATCGATTTGCGTTGGACATTTCCCTTGAGCAAAGCGGCATAAACCCTCTGCTTGTAAGGCTTAAAGATAATTGTCAGGGTGCCTGTCCATCGACTCCGGCATGTTCGAGCGTGCGAGGTGACTAAGCACACATTTTAATTTTGTTAACTCTGTCGATCTCGTTTCCGTGCAAGCTTCGCTTCAATTGATTTCGCACAGAAATAATCGCATGTACAATCTCTAAGTATTAATTTTATGCAATTTTCCTATTCTTGGAATATATCCTAGTCGAGTCTGGCGTGAACTACACATACACACAAATGTAAGAATTCTGTTGCCTGGTTTGTACGTCGAACCACAGTTTTCTGGTCATCAGTTTCAAACCTTTAGTTACCTGCATTTTTGTTGATAGCAGAATGATTTGATGGTCATGGACAATCGGTAAACTGTACTGGCCATTTTGTTTTTCCTCTGATAACTGTGGCAAGGAGGAGCACTTTTGTGCTCCACTTTTCATCGCAAACATGGCAGATGGGAGCAATCCAAGAGTTTCTATTTTATCCATTAAGGAATCGCAACATCTCTCCTCTTTGCATTTTTGATTAGCTGTCGCTTTAAATTAGCGGACTAATATCCACTGGGATTATAAATAATTAGGGGATGATATGCTAGATCATATAATCTCTCTTCCCCTTTCCATATTGGTCATTTAACAAAGGAAATGCTGATTGGCACATGAAGTCCTAAGCAGTTGCAGATCGCTTCCCGGTTAGACACCTAAGAGGAGCTTTTTGGAACTTTTCAGCATATTTGCTGGTGTATACTCATAATATTATTTTTGTTGGATTTCAGGCTCCACCAATGCTTGAACTTAGTATCAATATTTTTCGAACTTCTTTTACTCCGAAACCGTTTTCGGTTGCTTGACCCATTAGCCCTCTATCCTCTGTCCTGTTGTAAAGTACCAATGATTCATTCATAAGGATGGGTATAGTCAGTGAAATTGATGACTTTTTTTGAACTTTGAAACAAGTGCTCGACCATGATTTGCCCTCGATCGTGTTTGCACCATTAATCGAGTTACCATTATCGAGTTACCTGTGTTGTCATTTTCTACTAACAAATATTCCGTAGAAATAAAAAGTGTCACCGCTTAGGCATTTTTCATCATACCAGTGCGGCAGGGTGCATACCTTAGAGCTGTAAATCCCTTAACTCTGTTCCTTCAGAATAGCCCAAAACCCCCTATTCAAGTTGTATCAGAAATAACTTCACTTTTTATTAATTTAGACCTACGAAAGTAGGCCTTATTCTTTTAACTTGCTTTCCAGACTGTCCCAATACATTTCTTTGGTCGTGTTAGAATCATAAGGTTATGTATAAGGCCATACTAAAGCACAATAGTGGTACTGTTATGCCAATTCCTTTGCTATGAAGCTTTTTAGCCCAATTTCTTCTATTTACTTGATCAGATCAGTTTTCTCTGTTTTAGAAATCTGACTCTCAGACATGGTGAGTATAGGTTATCTGTTTATAGCTTGCTTTACAGTTTGACTTATTTTTTCCCGGCGGAGGCTCCAATTTCTCGACGTCCTACCGATGTTATCCCCACACATTTAGTTCCCGAAAGGATACAGATACCATTGAGTATGGAGGAAAAAGTTGTTTTCAATTGTCTTTTAGCTTATTCCGTTAAAATATTTAGTTTTGTTGCCGCCATCTGCTCTGGATCATCTCAGTAAGTTTCGTTTTTTTTATCACCGGTAAATGTAGCTCGCCTAAATGTGCAATATCCCATGCTATTCAAATTGTCAAACAAGAAAGCCTCTCGTCACACACACTGTGGTGTGTTGGAGTTTGTGGCCGATGAGGGCATGTGTTATGTGCCATACTGGGTAATATACCCTCTTTCGTTAACCTGCTTTTACCTCCGCCCACTTTTTTGCAGATGCTACGAAATCTCCAGCTCGAAGAAGGCGATATGGTGCATGTAAAGAGTGTTGCTCTTCCGGTAGCTACGTTTGCCAAGTTCCAGCCTCAAGACGAGAGTTTCCTGGACATCTTCAATCCCAAAGCAGTGTAAGTTTGTTATGCCATCTCTTTCTCATGTGCCTTTCCTAATTTAGGTTGGAAAATGCACTGCGTGATTTTGCCTGTCTTACTGTCGACGACATGATTGCCATTAAGTACAACGATCAAATCTATGAGCTGAAGGTCCTCGCGGTAGAACCTGCAGAAGCTGTTAGTATCATCGAATGTGATATGAGTGTAGGGATTCGGTTGCGCTTTTCACACCTCCCCAATTAGGTTGACTTTGCTCCCCCTGTTGGCTATGTCGAAAAACGGATGGAGAATCAGAAGAAGGCTGTCGCCGCCACGAATAAGGTGCGTGTTCTTATTCTTTTGCTGTCTCTCGTTCTACGTATGTATGTTCAAGAAATTTAGTGTGCCTTTCCGTTAATGTAAACTTTCATGTCTTTTGATAGTAACTTTTTTAGTTATCATCGCGCCCTGGCTTTTGCTAAGGGACTTATGGCATGTCCTAACCCTAACGCTAACCTTAACCCCCATCCTAACTGCAGTCTTAATCCTAACAATAATTGATCTGGAATTAAGCACAAAGCCACCTGCATTACGGTAGCCTTCCTATTCCCATGTTCTGCCGGTGGGCATATTAGCAATCTTTAGTATGGACGGTAGGGGTTAGCTCTGCATGAGTGGGTAATGACGGAAGTGTTACTGACCTCTGCGTGGTGCCCAATCAATTATCTTTATATGCTTTTAACGACCCTATTGGCTCATTCTAAAAATCCTTCAGTGTGCCTATTAAGAAACTTTCGTCCCGCGTGCCGGATACGGCTCCTCCGGGACCGACTCCAGTTTAACCCTATGTTTCGGTCGTTTCACCATGAATTTTGCATATTACTACCGTCGCCGTCCTTCGAAATACTTATTTTGTTGCTGACGTTCACCAAAATTCTCCGTGTCTGGACTTAAGTTAGTAAACTTCTGGCAGTATTGATGTTCGAATGTTCGATTTCACATCTTATGCGTTTTTCCTTTGACGCGGTTTCACAGGACTATTATGTCAGACTGAATCAAGACTGTTGGTGTGAAAACTGTATGTGGTATCAATTTTGAAAAAGTAAGAATTCTGGGCTCAGAATCATAGATCATTTTTGCTCACCGTAATGTAATTCTTTTTCTGCGAACGTTTCGGACAGCTGGGCCGGCTGTCCTTTGTCAAAGCGAGAGCTGACTTTATCGAGCAGCAGTCCAAATTTGTGGCTGCGTGTGTTTGCCATAGGTTGATCAATTTTTCTACGCTCGCTGCTTGGCACTGCGCGTGGATTTTGGCGTAACTTGACGGCAATTAGTGTTGTGTCCCATCCCCACGGTAGAGTATGCTGGTAATCCTATTCCTTCTTCCACTAGTTTCGTCACGGGACCGTCTTTGTTTGCAAATCCTAAGTTCGGTTTGAACAAGTCCTGTCCTTTACTAACGTAATGGCGTAGGACTTTGTAGGCCGCGGGAGGTCCAGATGCCTGTTGACAGAGTTGGCATCTGAATACCATGCCTAAAGCGTCAGTCTTTCCGCTTTTGAGGTTCCCCGGCATACAATGGGCGCTCCTTGAATGACGAAGTTGTGGCCAGTCTCTCCAATATGGGTAGCAAGCTGCGAGTTTGGGTCAAGTCTTCGGGCCGCCGCTTTGTGTTCTTGTGGACGGGTCTGCAATTTTGCGTCCTGTTTCTCCAACGTAATTACAGTCGCCATCGTTACAAGTATTTTGTAGACAACTGCAGAAGTTCCAGTAGGGGGCAGTGTGTCTTTAGGTTGCATCACTCGGCGGCGTATTGTCGCCTGAGGTCGATGGGCTATGCCTACTCCAGTGGGTTGTAACAGTCGAGATACTACTTCTGAGACTCCTTTTATGTAGAGAATGGCCCTCCAGACTTCGGGTGCAGCGCAAGCCTACTCTCACCATACTCTTTTTCACACGCAAGTCACCGCATTTACTTTCAGCTTGGTGTAAAGCACACAGGGACCTCGTCGAAACCAACGATCGATCTGTCATAATGTCAGACTTCCTTACCTGAGTTGTATGGAATATTCCGAGAACGCTTCATAATACCAGTATTCACATATGGTGACTAACGATCTAAGACAGAAATGACTTTTTTATCGCCACCAATAAAACAAACGTATTGTGAAATTGATCTGACTTTCCACATGAATTCCGTTTACCTTTCAGGATGTAAACGAAAACCTTATCCCGGCTCAAAGTCAAGGCTTTCAGGTATGTTTTTTGGCGGATCTCAGTATCTATACGGATTTTTACGGAGCCATGACTAGCATTTTCCCTTTTTCTCGGCCCTAAATTACCCTGCGCAAGTGAGCAGTTCTGAATAAAGACGGATAAACCAGCTTCTTGAATTCTAGACTCAGGGCGCATGGTCACATCTCCGGTACTTTGGTCATGTTCTCGTAACCTCTACGGTCCCCTCCTCGTGTGACCCTTGGTATACTGATAATGTCTGCGATGGGCTCCCCCTGTCTCGCCTCACACATTCTCCTTAGCAGGATGGTCCTAGCGCGCATATTTTTTCCCCTATGGGCGACAGTTTTTCCCCTTAAATTCCCTCAAATCGCATTCAGACTTCTATAGCTTCCCAACAAGGAGTTTTTTCTGCACCGTCTGCTCTTATTGCTTTGTTCCATCTACTGGCCCGTGTCATTTGGCATCGACAATAAGCCGAGGTATAATCCGAGGATAATAACTACACATCTAATTATACTACTTGGAATAAGTTAGTAGCCATGTATGTTTACTGTGTTAAACCAACGACTGCTCGCTTTTCATCTGCCTTTTTTGAATTTTTCTCCTGTATCGATGCATTTATTAGGTAGTACTACCAGCAGAGAGCAGCGTTTGCCTACCTATTCCTCAATAACACTTAACTGGAGATGGGAAGAGACCGCGTGTGATCATTGCGACACGAAAGCTATGGTTAAGTGATAAATATTCTAATCTGGAGACTTCGCTGCCTGGATATATTAGCATTTAGACCACAGTGAAAGCTCACGCTTTTCAAGGGCGCCAAGCGCTAACTGAGGTTTACCAACATATTTTTAGTCGAAGAATTCTGGTCTCAGTGGTTCAATTCCAGCTGATAGTGGGCCCCAACAGAAGCGTATTAATGTCGACTAGAAAGAACCAAACAAAAGCAATACAGAAACATCTCAACAGGATCAAGGCTGCTTCAAAATACATATTACAGTCTTTAGCTACATGCTTAGCTAGTCCGTAATCGGATAGCTAGCTAACCTACTGGCTTTGTTATGATGTTCGTTAGCATAAAATAGGCTTTAATGCGCATTAATAATTAAGATCTTAACCCTAATGGCAGGCAGAACAGCCCACTTGCGATTGATATATTCCACCTTAACCTTTATTTATGAGGAACAGAAGAAGCTTAAATTCAAAAACTTAGGTTCCCTTCAGAAATCGCACCGTGAACTCTGGGTAACCCACTGATGAGCCGAATCCCTTCCATTTGTGTCACGCAACAGCAGGATGTCGGCGAAGAACGTGTCCAGACGTTAAATTTCGATATTACTGTCTACTTGTTGACAGTTTATGACTATTACGCGGCTATATCGCTGTAGTTGATTGCTTTCGGCTCAACCATTCATATTATCTTCCGGACTGAGTCTATAAAGTAGGATTTTTGGCCGCTTTTTTTAAAATTCATTGGTGAAGGTAATAGGCAATGCCCTTAAAAACCTTACTGTTTATATGCCGATGCGCCATAAATATCTGTACACACATTCTTAGAAACTACCACTTTTGATGTGAGTAGCATTGTTCTAAAAACAGACTCCCGTCTTGAGTTAGCGTAATATTTAGTTCGGATTCAGATTGTCGAGGGACGCATATAATTCTTCAAGCATTGTTTGAAGAGCTGCAGGGACATCGCTTCTACGACTTAGTGAGGGAGGTCGTTCGAAGGCCGCCTGCGTGAAGAACTCAGAACGGTGGTCCAGCCTGGACCTTTTCGTGCGCAACTTGTTTTAGGGCTCAGGAAGATAAGGCGAAAAATGCCACTGAAACACATTTTAAAAGCGCACCCCTTGCTCGTGGCTATGCATTATCTTTTAAACTAAGATAGGATCGTCTGTTTGCTGCCTCTAACACAGAGGGAACAGGCTTAGTCATCCCAGTGTTTCTGTATATCAGAGTGGTATTTTAGACCTTTTACAAACTTTGTTGCACGGCGTTATTGATTGGGTTCTGAGGAAATTAAAAC